ATCGTTTTATTAAATTTTTTACATAAGAATCTTAGATCCAAAATAGTATTATACGTTTCTTTCCGCAACTAGTTCAACATCCAGACATTTCACTGTGGTTACAAAAGAGAGTTACAACAAAAGAGCCACCGTAATAGCAGCGCAACAACAAGAAGAACAACTCAACTTAATAACACTTTGCAGTTGTCGCTGCCTAGGGCAATCACCCGGTACACATTTCCTCCAACCCATCGGATCCCATACCATCCCAACCCACCCGTGACCTCCCCCACTTAAAAGGTGGACTTGGACTGCATAAATTTGGAAGGCAGAGAACTGGAAAGGAAAAAGTTGATCGCCTCCCCTTCTCTCGCCTTTCTCCGCCGAGATATTTGTTGTTGCCGCAATTGTTGCATGCCCGTCAGTCAGTCAGTCATTTATTCGGTCAGTCAGTCAGTCATTCAAGCTGCCAGTCAGCCAGTCACTCATTCAGTCAGCAGTCATTCGTATGTCCATGTGCGGGGATAAAAGCGTCCACACAAATGACCCGCTGGCAACTTGCATCTCCGGCATTTTAACGGAATTTCAAGCACCTTGCAAAGGACCAGTCGGAAATTGAATCTTTCAGATAGCAGTTCCCTACTGAGATGTTCTTTTGAGATAAGTATCTGGACATTGAAAAATATTTTCAGGATGGGGTCATAATAGGTTGTTTATAAAATTTGGCTTCATATCTTGGGATATAGGTATGTCTACTAAGTGAATAATACCACTTTTGCAAAACTTTTAACTGTATTCCCGTTCAGGCACTTAAATGCTAATGTGTCATTATCTCTTCAAGAAGAATTGCTAAAGACAGAGAATCACTCTAAATGTGCCATTTTCTTCGTTAGAAGAATTGCTAAAGACAGAGAATCACTCTAGTCATTGACCCGAAGAGAGTATTCAGCTATCTTCATCTTTCTTTTGTCTTTTGCTACCTGAATTGGTCCGCGTAATTTGCCCTTTGATAGCCCGAAGTCCACACATCTCTCGCCAAGTTGTTCCACATGTTTGTCACGTGTGGCGAGTGAACTCAATTACCCTGGTACTCCCCTGCAGCCAAAACCCCACCTTCTCTTCCAGCAACAACTGTCATGGAGAAAGCACTTCACAAATTGAAGTGCAGCGCGAGAATTAGAGAAAAAAGATTACGAGAGGGCACCAAGCACTTCCGCAGCTATTTTCCCTGTTTGCCTCGAGCGAACATTTGTCGATTGTTATTTGGAAAATGTCAAAGGCACTTGATGTTGATCGCTGCCCTGAAGAGATCTTGCGAGGCACTGAGAAAAATCAGCTGCAGGTTTAAATAATAAATATCTTACAAAATGTGAAAGCTTTTTGATTTTAACAGAGTTTAAAGGGTTTTTGTCAAAGTATACTTGTTGGAACACTTTTTTTTAATTTTGAAATATAATTGTATCTTTTATCTGTATTTATGAGTTTACCATTATTATCTGTGAGCTGGAAATATTTAAAATTAAAATTTCCCACATATCATTATAATATTGCAATTAAAAAACGTTTGGTTTTTTAACATTTTGGTTAATCCAATAAATAGTAATTATTTAAGAAAAGAGATTGCTATCCTAAGAAATGATCTATTTTAGGTTAAAGGTAAATAGATTTTAAGGTATACTTTTCAGACCCTTTTTGAAATTTGATACCTTTTCCATAATTATTAAATTACCGACGTGAGGTATTTCTTAAGGCAGGTATATCTATCAATCTAAATCTCATGTTTCCCTATTTAGCATCAGTGTGTCTCAGTGCTGGGTTGTAAATCAGACGAGTGAGGAACCATCGAAAATAGAAAAAGGGGCCTGGATGCGTAGCACTTGCCCCGATATCGCCGCCTCTTTCCCACTGCCCGAGGGCATATGGGCCTCTCGCTCGCACCGCTTTTAATTATAGCCACGTCTCGTCTGCGAAGCGGAAGTTTGTTTAGGATATTTGGCATTATGTACTGGCATTTTACAAGCTCGTGCAGCTGCCTGCCTGCATACATGCATCTGGCGCCGTCTCTTCAGATGCCCTGACTTTCCCGACTTTCCCCCCACTTGGCATACCTCCCTTGGAATATCTCTGCCCCATTTGGAGACTATATATCCCAGGCATCCGAGAGTCCATGATGCGAATTATTCAAATAGCTCGCGCCTGCCTTTGGAGCGGTCTGCATGCGGGCCATACAGCCCGACGACTTTGGCATACAAATTAGATGCAGCGATAATCGACTATTCAGGTTGACTGCCTCGGATCCCCGACTCACCTAGCCATCCATAAAACCACACCACCCACCTCAGGCCCCTCAGCCCCCCTTAACCCCCTCAATCCACCCAAAATGCACACACGCACCGGCTGCAAAAGCTTACCTGTCACGGGTTTTTGCTCTTGAGCGCCCTTAAAGTGAATTTTTCAGTCCAAAATAATCCCTTCTTTGATATGTCTGCCGGTGTAGCTGCAAAAGAACAATTTTCCAGATACGATTTTAGTTTCTTTCCTTCTTTTTTGGCGAAACAAATTTCGGTGACATAAATTCAACATGAAATTAATGTTAATCCTGCTAAAGCAAAGGGGAAAATGTCGCAGACAGCAAACATGCATAAAAAGAAACGTGAGGCAAGTTTATACGAGAATATGTATTAATAATGCAACGAATAAGAAATTATAATTTATAAATGCCAGGACGTATAAAGAAAACTTGATTTTTTCCTTATTCCAAAGAAGACTCTGAATACAATATTTTTCTTCTTTAATCTTGATAATATTTAAAAAGAATATTTAATAGACTGAGATACATACATAGATACATTTAAAACTTTGGAAAAATTAAATAATGTATGATAAATGTAAATTCCATATACCTACATGTAAAGCAATTATTTAATTTAATTTCAATGCCATCTAAAAACATTGTCAAATCACTAAGTGAATGTTATATATAATATTTATTTCTGGTTATAAAAGATATTGCTGGAATTTCATGAACTCTAATGTGTATTATCATAAAAATCATAAAATTAATGTTTGTAATAATCCCCGCATAAACCAATATAGGAAAAATGTCCTTTTTGATTTCGTGTCTAGACCGAGGATAAGATTTCTATGCCAAATGCTGCCATAAGGAAAGAGAATGGAAAAGAGCGCAAAAGGGCGACGGCAGCGCAAAAACTTCTGCAGCGCAATAAAAAGCCGCACAGAAATCAAAAATCAAGAGTGGAAACTTGCGGGCCAACCCCATGAGATGGGAGTTGGAAACTCGGCAACAGCAATAGCAATAGCAAACCCACCGAAGAAGACCACCCATTACCCACCCAGGGAAAACCACCCAACCACCCAGGCAGCGGTGCAACACCCCCCGTTCACCACCCACTTTTGGGGGTGGCAGTTGGCTATTTGCCTTTTGCGAAGGACGCAGGACGCAGGAAGCAAAAGGACGCTGCGCGGAGCGTATCGCGTCTGGATCAGAAATTGCAGACGGGCCTAATGGGATAAACTAGGTGTAGCACACACACTCGCACAGCGGGGGCCAAAATAATACAATTTGTCATGTAGAGTGTCCAAAAAATCATATTCTAGGGAAATAAATCATTTTTGGACCTCGGTTCTCAGTCTATAAACGGATTTAGTTGGGAAAAAATATAAATAAAACATAAACCAATCCGAAATATGTATATTTACGTCTATAAACAAAAAAAAATGTTCTAAAATGTACAACAAATTTATAAAGTGACGAACAAAAATGTTCTTAAGTAATAGCTGCTTAATTGGTTTTTAATTTTAAAAAATTAAGTAAAGAAAGCTTCATCCATATTTAAAATAGTTTCATGATCTTAAGGAATACTGAAGTCTTGACTAATTATCGGAAAAAAATGTATAAAATTATTAATTAAATTTAAGATATTTGTTTTTAATATTTTGCCCATCTGTGCATTCATTATAATCCCAGACAGTCGTGTGACAAATTTCATTATGGCACTAGAGAAAATACTACGGGCATAAAAATGCATAAATGGAAAACAAAACCGGCTGAAGCTCGGAAATTGTAGTGTGTGCGGTATACGAAAATTTGCATTTCCACTTCATCGAAATTCGATGGCTCGAAATAACCCCACACAAACACTTACACGATGGAAAAGCCACCCACACACTGAAAACCAGACAGGCGCCAACTGGAGGGTGGAAAACCGGCTTGTTTTGCCGGCGAAAATGCGTAAAATAACGGCAGTTGAGTGCTTTTACAGATTTTACTCACCGGCGAAATTGTATTTGTATCTCGAAGTCTTTGATAATAAACCCTTGATAATGGTCAGACTTTTGGTTTTTAGTCGTTTGTTTTTCTTCACCACTTGGTATTTAATAAATATTTTCTCTATTTTGTTGGCATTAGTTAATGCGAATATTGTAGCACAGCTTTGTGGGCAGGCACACACACACTGACGCACACGCGCAGATAAACACAGAGCTTGATGTCCCGTTAGAAAAGCGCCGCACTCACGAGCCGCGACGTCACGTCCGAACGAATCCGAATTTTCCGCGGGAATGACGTAGCGAACTCCATTTGAAAATTCAGTTGGAGATGGTGTGGCCAGTTTGGTTGCGGGGGATTTAGCCGAATTCAGCTTACCACTTTTTTTGGCGGTATATTTGATGGGTGCGGGCAAGGTCATACCAATTCATTCTCTATGTGGCACCACTCTCCGATTTAGCACGGACTCCAACCAATATTGATATATGGACAAAATAACAGGTTGGCATGCCCTAATAGTAGGGGTTTCTGTCAACTTTTTCTCATAACAAAATGTTAATTTCGTGTATTATATAGTTTTTGGGAAAAGCACAATGTAAAAAATATAATATATCAGCATTTAAGAAGTGGGAAATATACATTTTAGATGGACATTTTGATATAACATATTTTAAATTATCATGCTAATACATACCAGGAGGAACCCCCTAAATTTTGATATTTTTCCAAACCATGGTATTTTCCAGCTATCCAGCTGAAGCCACCGTTCCTTTGGAGGATTCAACCGAACCACAAACAAAACGCGCAATTGCCGTAGATCGGAGATAAACCACGATTTTTCTGCCCAGCGATGACGGAAGCGCCGCCCAAGAAGCGCAATGCCTGCGTCATCGTGCTGGGCGACATTGGACGCAGTCCGCGGATGCAGTATCATGCCCAGAGCCTCTTGGAGGAGAACTACCACGTGGACGTGATTGGCTACCTGGAGACGAGACCGCTGGAGGCACTTACCCAACATCCCTGTTGCCGGATCCACGAGCTGACCGCCGTTCCGGTGACGAACCTCACGCCCAAGCTGCGACTGCTCTTCAAGGCCTTCTGGCAGACGCTCAGCCTCCTATGGCCCTCATCTCCATCGGGCGACCTAGTTTCCTGCTCGTCCAGAATCCCCCGGGGATTCCCACGCTGATTGTTTGCTACCTGTATTGCGCCGTCACCAGGACCAAGCTGGCCATTGATTGGCACAACTATACCTACACCGTGCTAGCGTTGGGCATGTCAAAGGGGGAGCAGAGTCCGCTCATCCGGCTGGTGAGGCGACTGGAGCGATACTTTGGCTCCAAGGCACACACGCACTTCTGTGTGACGCGGGCCATGCAGGAGGATCTGCAGCAGAACTGGGGAATAGGGTAAGTCTTGGTTTAATTGAATTAAGATAAAGATAATCGTTCACCCCCTTTCAGCCCGTTAAAGTTCTCTATGACCGCGCGCCCTCGCAGTTCCATCCCATCGACCTGCCCCAAAAGCACGAGCTGTTCTTGAAGCTGTCTAGGGATTATCCCCAGTTCCAGGCCAAGGACACCGACCAGTCCGATGTGCTGGAGGCCACCGCCCTCACCCAGAAGCTGGCCAACGGCAGTGTGCAATACAAGCCCCAGCGACAGGCTGTTCTTGTTTCGAGCACCAGTTGGACGCCAGACGAGGACTTTGGGATACTCCTCAAAGCCTTGCAGGCCTACGAGGAAACGGCGCTAGCAGAGCCCTTGGTGTATCCCTCGCTGCTGTGCATTATCACGGGAAAGGGACCGCAAAAGAGCACTATGTGGCGGAGATCGAGCAATGGAGTGGCAAAAGGTGTCGGTAATCACGCCTTGGCTGGAGATCGAGGACTATCCCACTGTGCTGGCCAGCGCCGATCTGGGAGTGTGCCTGCACTGGAGCACCAGTGGGTTAGACCTGCCCATGAAGTGGTCGATATGTTCGGCAGCGGCCTGCCAGTCTGTGCCTACGATTTCAAGTGGTGGGTGGTCTCTATAATACCTTAAGAAACGACATTTCCCTCCAAATATAACTTCTAACTTAAATCTTTTTTTGCAGCCTGGACGAGTTGGTAAACACGGCGAGAATGGCTTTGTGTTTAGCGACCATGTTCAGTTGGCCGAGCAGCTGAGGATCTGGTTCGAGCATTTCCCAAAGAATCCGAGTATCCTGGAGACGAGGGCCGGTTTCCAGCGCAGTCTTCAGGAGTTCCAGGAATTGCGATGGCGGGAGAGTTGGCGCTTTGTGGCTGCTCCGTTCTGGAGTCACTTCTCTAGGGCATTTCGTGTTGATTATTTAACAAAACATTTGATAGTTACACGTTAAGACAGACTTTCTAGTTACTAACAATCCATTGTGCACAAGGGGCAATGCAGATAATATATGTGGTCCCTTATTTCTTTCTGCAGAACTGGCTTATTTACTAGTAAGTACTTACTAGGAAATTTTATTTTATATTTTTGTCACAATGTTTTATTAGTAATTTCCCACCAACTGTACATAAGCAAATACTTTTGGATATCTAAATAAATTGTCTATATTGGCAAAGTTAACCACAGCTTGTACTGTTAATAGAGGCGGCAAAAAGAGGATCAAAATAAATGAAAACAAATTGAAATTTTCAAAAATTAATATAACGCGTTTGCAAGTGAATGGCAATTAAAAAGAACAAGCAAATAGCAACGGTCTCACTAAAACAGGTTGGTGTCCCTGCTTAGCGTTGTCACCCACCTGACATTCTTTGGTATAAACAGTATTTTTCCAAGAGCGGGACGCCATTATTATCGACTTTTCCACAGTCACACTGTACTCTTCACCGGCGCATTTTTTTTTAACAAAACTAGTAAATAGAAATATTTCTGCTACCATGGCCACTGAGTGTCGGATCTGCGGCGAGCGGATCTTCACGCCGCACCCAAAGAACATTTTCGAAAAGCGCAACCACCGCATTCGAACGGCTATCGAGCAAATCACGGGATTGGAGGTGGCGTCGCTTCGCCTTGGAGTCTCGAATTATTATTCACCATCTCAGCTTTTTTGCAGATTGTTTTGGAGAAGCTGCTGCCTCAGCACATTGCTCCTGCTGTCTGCTGGACCTCAGCCAGGCCATAGCCTTCCGGCAGCGATGCCTAAGACGCACGAGGTGCTGCACCAGGGGAGCACCACCCACTCTCCCCCTCCTCATCCTCCTACTCAAGAGTTCCAAAGGGAAACGTGGAGGAACAGCGATTAAATGGCGATCCACTGTTCAAACAGAAGTTCAGGAGGATACAAGCGACGCGGACGACGATAAGGAGTTTCTGGATGAAGATAAGGAGTTCTTGGTGGACTTGAAACCAGTTATTAAGTTGCCACCGGCCAAGAGATTAAGGCAGGAGGAACATAAGTTGCCCAACAGTCAATCTCCACGTGTCATGGTCAAACGTCTCCGGGTGTCGGAGATCAAGAAACACGACAGTCCACCGCCACCCAAGCGGGACCCAGGTCGCAGGGTCAGAAAGCGGCGACCAAAGCCCAAGGTCGATCGTTCGATCAAGCGCTATGTGTGCGACCAGTGCGGCTGGTCTTTCAACGATCACAGCAACATGAAGGACCACAAGCTGCGGCACTTCGCTGAGAAGTTTTCGTGCGACGACTGTGGTCGCAAGTTTTACACCATGCCACTGCTCCGGCTGCACATTCGAGTTCATCACAAGGGCGAGAGACCTACGTCTGCAAGTTCTGCGGCATGGGATTCGCCAACAGTCCCACCCGCTGTCGACATGAGCGGTAAGTGGTTAAGTCACCAGGAGTAACTAGACCCATCTAAATATCTACCCTTTCACAGGCAAGTTCACGCAGACCAGCTGGTCCATGCCTGCAAGATCTGCGGTAAACGTTTCAACAGCGAAAAAGGTTGTGCCAAGCATGAGGAGGGGCACAAAAGCGACCAGCCGGATGTTTACTTGTAAGATTACTTTAAGATTTATCCATAATAGACATTTGTATATGGAATTATTTTGCAGCTGCGTCACCTGCAACAAGGAGTTCAAGGAGAATTCGTTTCTGCAGCGACACTATACCACGAAGTACCATCGCAAGCGGGAGAACATGCTGGTAGAAGGTCCCAAGGAGGATTTCCACTCAGACGGCGACCCCGAGGAGATGCCTGGATATATGGAAGAGGGTCAGGTAGAAATGGAGGAAAGTCAGGCGGAAATCGACGTACTTTGGAGGATATTGTCGAAGATCAGTACGAGAACCATGAAGAACTTGTTGACGAGCAGCCTTTCGAGGATTTTGACTATGATGAAACCATCATGGAGGAGGAGCTGTACACTTAAAATGAAATGCAATTGGCGCCAAGCATTCACAAATGCGAGGGATGTAATTATTTCTTCGTATCGAGCACCATTTCCAATTCGATCGAGAGCTACAATACTTGTTATAAAAATAATTTTACTTACCAATTATGATTTCTTAATAAATCTAGACATAAAAAATAATAAAGACACTGGCTTGGGGAAAATAATGTTAAATAAATAAAATGGATCCCATAATCAAAAAGTTTTATTAGTTAAATACACTAGTATCGAAGCCCTGGTTTCACTGAAGAAAAAACAGTTATTTCTTGAAGATGATCTGGCAACGCCAGAGTTACCAAAACAAAATTTTTCCGCGGCTTGACAAGCGATATTATTGAAATTCCCGGAAATAAAGTGTACAAAAATCAGTTTTAGATGTGTCTGCTCGTTCCTTAGCATCCTGCGAGCTTGATTTCGCTGGCGGAAAAAAGTCAAAAACATTAAAAGCCTGGAAATACGGTTGGGGAATAGGTATCCCCTCCTAATTGGTCAAAAGATCTTTAAGATCTCTATAATATCGTAGAAATGGCTGTTCAATGTCGTCTGTGTGCCTTGTTTTTCTTCCAATTGAAACCCACGATCATATTCAACTCGGGATCCTCGCCAAGATCAAAGATCTCACCGGATTATGGGTGAGTTGGTGGCTCTACTACATTCCCCGTTACCTCATTTTCGAACCCATTCACAGTTACAAGAGGAAGAGCACCTACCGCGTCACATTTGCCCATCTTGCCTGAATGAGTTAAATATATTCACTGATTTAAGGCAACGCATTCAACGGAACCACAATCTACTGAATCTCAGAAGGGAGGTCGGAAGTGCTCAAGATCTGGAATCTCAAATGTCAAGTTCCGAGTCAGAAGGGGATTTCTCGGGTATCCTTACAGAATCGAGCAATCCTATGACATTCATAGTGACGACAATGAAAAGAGTATAAAGGATCTCATAGATTGGAAACTACATAATTTGGAAAAACCAGAATCTCCAGATTTTGATTATCTGCACAAATATGATTCAAATGAGAGTAATCAAGAGTCAGAGGACTGTGATGTTTGGTCTAATTTACATAAGCTAGATTGCACAGATCCAAACAGATCAGAAGTTCACATAGAAGATCCTAATTTTGTGTAGCCGAAGTTCAATATCAAAATAAGAAGCCATTTGAAAGTGATGAAGAATCTGAGGACTATGAAAAATGGGAACCATATAATTTGCTAATCAAGACACTGAAAAACTATCTGTTCCAATAGGATTTCCAAAAAATGGTCAAGAACTATCAGATCCAAAAAAATGTATTGGAAAAGGTAGAAAGCCTTTAGTTGAGACTTCTTCGGCAGCAAGCGAAAATGTTATTCGCAAAGCTGATTTCAAAGACCCTAAAGGGGAATTTATTTACCTTAAAACAAACGTTACCATTAAGAAGGCAATTCCTGCTTTACTGAAATCAAAAGACGGGCTGTTCATAATATTCAGAAGGTCAAAAGAAGAAGGGCCTGCAAAGCTCTATCCCTGGACTGCACAGAATGTGGAAAGTCCTTTAAGACCACATACAACTTAAGGTTGCATATGGTGCGCCATACTGGCCAGAAGGATTTTGCATGCTCTTTTTGCGAAAGGCAATTCGTCTCAATACATCTGAAGAAACTGCACGAACGAGTCCGCCACTTGGGAGAGCAGCCCTTTAAGTGCAAATTCTGTCCAGATACGTTCTTTACCAGTACGGCTAAGAACCGACACGAGCGGTAAGCGATATTTTGTTTATTACCATTATAAGAGTATAGATCCCTTACTTGATATTTATTATTTGTCATTCATAAAACTGAAAGATGAACTTTAATTTAATAACCGCAGAATTAGACACATTAGAGACGGTAGCTACAAATGCGATGAGTGCAACAGCAAATTCAATACCAAAACCTGCTTAAACAAGCACAAGTTCCTGCATACCGGGAAGAAACCATATTGGTAAGTGAACCGATCTAACTTGTAAACACTATATAATTCATTGTCATTCCTCCGTATTTCTTCCAGCTGTGATATATGCAATATTAGCTTTGCCGAAAGGCAAAAATTAAAGAATCATAATCAAACACAAATCCACCAGAAGAGGGCAACAGCCATCCTGGATGCAAACCAGTGCTGGGACTCCGATGAAGTAAACATCAACTTGGACTCAATATTTACTGATTTTTAAACACGACTTGGATGAATTGAGGCAGGAAGCATAGATTAGATAAAAATTTAAGAAATATCTTCATAGTCGCTGAATGTTTTTCTTTTGTTCTGGCACTGGATTGCCTTTTATTAAGTTCATTTAAACACTTTTACCTTATATTTGACTAACAACATTTTGACATTTTTTAATTCTTTTTTTATCTTTTTTATGTACCATGAACATTCCATTATTGGTATAGAATTAACGTGTAAATCACTGATACGTGTAAATCACTTTTCTTTAAAAACATTGGTTTATAATTCACCTATTGGAAATATCATTATATATCTGACAGTTCAACAGCCAAACATAAATACAAATAATATTACATTATCGAGTTTTAATAAATAAACTTATCATTTATCTGTTCCCTGTGTTTACTTTTTTTATAAACTTCTCTTAACTTGGCATTTAGAGAAACGGATTTTAAATTTTGCCGCCATCGATTGACAGTCACCCAGGCACGCAGCCACCGCAAACACGGCGAATGTCAAAATACGAATAATAACAACAGAGTGTCAATTAGGACGCGCACATGAATAAATTCCCAAATTTACGCGCAAATAATTGTTTGTAATGTCGCCCCAATGCCGGTTGTGTTTGGATATAATATATACCAAAAACCCGGTTAATATTTTCAATGGATCCAAGGAAATTATCGTGCAAATCGCCTTGTTAACGGGCATTTGGGTGAGTACTCAAGGCAAATGAATAATTTTTCTATTTAAACATGGTATTTCCATCTAACCAGCTGAAGGACCAAGGGAATCTGCCTAGAAATATGTGTTCCTGTTGTCTTCTTAGCCTTAAAAGTGCCTAGCCTTCAGAGAGGTCTGCATTAAGACCAACAACCGACTATCAAGCAACTTGAAACCGGTGAGAACTAAAGATGAGGTGGATGTGGATAATGCGTATGATCCCTTACCATCCGGGCACAAGGTAGCTAAGATGGAGAGGATCTTAAAGATGAAGAGGACGACATCAGCCAAGAGGAGATGGATTATACGGAACTTGAGGAACTGGAGGAGGACCATAATGGGGACCACTATGCTACGGATAGTGGTCAAGAAGACAACGAGAAGATACTGGAAGATGAGAAGGATATTCAGGAAGATGGGGAGGAGACACAGGAAGATGAGGAGACACTGGAAGATTTTGATGACGATGAGGAATGGACACAGGATGATGAGGCGAATTCTGATACCCATGACGAGAGTGGTGATGATTCAGATACAGAAGCCACTATCAAATCTCTAGTATCTGAAGTCGTCGGACAAGAACGTCAAGAAGGGATATCTAAAGGGAGTTCCACAAACTCACCCAAAAAGTCAAAAAACGACGAAAACACCCCTCCGAAGGCGGGAAAAAGGAAACGAAAGAAGTACAAAAGCACTAAAATCTATGTTTGTGATCACTGCGGCAAGGAATTTACCGACAAGGGCAATCTCAATTTGCACGTGTTACGACACACCGGGATCAAGCCATTTGCATGCCCAGAGTGCGGAAAGAGGGAGTTCAACAAGTACAGTTTGAACATTCACATCCGGGTGAAGCACCGCGGAGAGAAGCCGTACGCCTGCAAGTATTGCGAACTGCATTTCGAAAGCAGTACCAAGCGAACTCGCCACGAAAGGTACCTACTTCTTAGTGTTCCTCAGAATACTCCGATTTCTTAATATCTTTCACTAACTATCTTTCAGGAGGACTCACATAAAACAGACGGTGAAGCAGAAACCTTTTAAGTGCTCTAGCTGCGACTTGCGATTCGAAATAAGGTCTCAAAGGACGAAGCACGAGAAAGTGCACTCTGGAGAACGAGAGTTTCAGTAAGTAATGGTTTAGAATAGTACTAGAATTTTATTTTCATTACTATTCACTGTTTTGTCTTATTTTCTAATCCTTTGTTTTCTTCCACAGATGTAAAGTATGTAAAGTGGCCTTCATCCGCGCCTCCAACTTGAAGACCCACTGCAAATCGAAGCTGCACCAAAGGAAAGAGGCCAATAGTAAATCCAAAACAAAATCTTAATTAAATGAAGTACAATTACTTTGTTGACAAGTGTTTAATCTGTAAATCGCGCGAAATCGCCTGCCATTCACCACGAGGGTTAACGTATTTTTGTAAGCAAAATAAGAGCTGTTTAAATAAAAAATGTCTCTAATTGAGTTAATTTACTTAAGTTGTTTAATCTGTCCGGAATACCAAAAACGGGGACCTGCACACGAAGATGTACTTTTTCTGCCTGCATATGTATTTTTTCGAGTGTTCAATTTACAATTCCCCTGGGGACGTGTGGCATGTTTTGGCCATTCGCCAAACACGGCGATACATCAGTGGTAAGCAGAAGGACCTGAGGATTTAGTTAAACAAAACAATATAACTTGTCTTAAAAAAAAAAGGACATTAGTGGAATGGCCACGCTGTGTCGCACTTGTGGCCAGCAGGCGGAGCACTCCAAGGCACTCTTTGACAAGGAAGGCAACGACGCCCTTTGCAATATCCATAAGTGACGGGGATTTGGGTACTTTACCTTCATAAAATGTAAAAATTCCTTTTAACATCAGCATCTCCTGTTCGATTTCAGTTCGGTGACCACCCCGGAGTGCCCACAAAGATCTGCCTATCCTGCCTGCTAGACTTAAACGATGCCGTCGCCTTCCGCGAACGCTGCATCAAGACGAACATTCTTGGTTCGAGGATCAGGATAAACCAGATGATTCGAGCACTGACACTGCCGATGAGAAGGAAACTATCAAAAAGAAGCCTAGGATTGTTATTGTACCGTACCCCAAAATGTTGTGCCTGTTGTACTGCCCTACAAGGGCCTGAAGCAGGCCACGATCCAACACAACGCAGCAAGGATTTGGTTAAGATTCCGCCCAAGCCTTAGATGACCCTGTTTGCCTGGAAGACCCTTCTGCTGAGCCCGTGGATCCCCTGAGGTGCGAGGACCCTATCTACGTCAAGAACGAGCCCCTTTCTGATGAGGAGCCTGAGGACGCAGAAAACAAAAGCTCACGGAGTTCGACGAAGATGAGGGGAGATACAGGAAGAGCAGTTGGAGGACGAAGAGGAGACTCAGGAAGATCACGATTCAAGTACAGGATCCACTTTCCACCTTCGCGTCAGAGAAAAAAATCCTAGGGAATTCTAAAGACAGTACCATAATCTTGTCCAAAAATTCCAAAAACCAAGAGAACACCATTCCAAATGCTGTGAAAGGGAAGCGAAAGCGGTACAAAGGCACTAAGATCTTTATTTGTGACCACTGCGGCAAGAAATTCAAGGACACCGGAAACCTCAATATGCACCTGTTGCGACACACTGGCGTTAAGCCTTTTGAATGTCCAGAATGCGGACAAAAGGAGCTCAATAAGTACATCCTGAATATTCACATCCGGGTGAAGCACCGCGGAGAAAAGCCTTACCCCTGTAAATATTGCGAAGCGCATTTCGAAAGCACCACCAAGCGAATTCGCCACGTAAGGTAACATATGTAAATATCGATCTTCCGGTGCCTAGACTAAAATTTGTTATTTTCAGGAGGACCCACGAAAGCAAGAGAACAAAACCTTATAAGTGCTCTTACTGTGACAAAAGGTTCGATCTCAAATCTATAAGGACGAAGCACGAGATGGTGCACACCGGAGAACGTAACTTCCCGTAAGAAAAAGTTAATACATTTATTATATAATTAAGGGAATGTATTGCCACTCTATCCTCTGATCGTTTATTTTCTTCCACAGTTGTGAAATATGCAACTTCTCCTTCATCACCAAAAGAAACCGGAACCTCCACTTTCAAACAAAAAATCACAAAAGAAAAGAGTTAGAAGCAAAAAGTAAATCTAAAAACAAGGTGTCATCCAAATAAAGTATAAATAATTTGTTGCCAGGTTTATTAACAACCTTTTAATAAACAAAAAACTTTTTAAAAAGGTGGACAAAAAATTCAAAGATGTAAGTGTACAAAACATTTTTAAAAACACAAAAACATTACCCATTAAAAAAGAAAGAAAGAAATATAAAAAGACTAGCGTGATTTTTACTTATAAATGTCAAAATCCAATTTTTTTTTTAATTAGACAAATTAAAAAAACTTTTATAAAAAGAAAAAAATACTTTATTCTAGAAAAATAACTAGATTTGTTGCACAGTGCTAATTGTCATTCACTATTCTTCGCGGGTATCCAATCATTCACGCAGAAGGCTTATTTGTTCTTCTCTGCCAAAGCAAACAAAACTTACTTTTTAAATGGGTTAAGCAAGCCTATTTAAGTTGAGAGGAAATCCAGAAAATGGACACGATATGTCGCACTTGCGGTCACGAAATGGATGACGGCAGTCCACTCTTTCACAAGGAAGGCACGGAAGTCCTGTACAACATCCTCCGGTTGACTGGGATTTTGGTATGTAGATCCTACCACTAAATAATAATTCTTAATCCATTCTAAACGATGTTCCCTTCCAGTTTGAGGATCATCCCGGAGTACCCTCAAATATCTGTATGCCCTGCCTGCTGGTGCTTAACGAGGCCATTGCCTTCCGGGAGCGGTGCATCACGACGAACAACTCCTGGTACGCTGATCAGGCACAAAAGAGGAGGGGACTTTCTTAGAAGTACTCCGTGAGGAAGTTGTGCAGAAAACTACCTTTCAGCAACCAAAGAGTCCTGTGCCGGAAGAGATCGCACCAGAACCCAAGGAACCGGATAGGATTTCGTCGATGGCAATAGAAGAGCCTATTTTTCATCTCACTGTTGATATAGTGGATCCCCTGAGGTGCGAGGACCCTATCGAAGTGAAGTGCGAACCCCTGCCTTTAGATAAGGATCCTGATGAATCCATTAACCAAACCCTATAAAGGACTCCGAGAAGTTATTGAAGGGAATCCGAAAATCAAGACTAGAAGAAGTGACACCTGTTATAAGAAAAAGACGAGGAAGGCCAAAAGACAGTAGGAGCAAAGAGGAAAAAAATGACAGGCGAAGAAAGTTGGCTGCGGAGAGAAGAGCTGAGACCAAGGATCAGAAACTCTACTTCTGCGACCAGTGTGGCAAAACCTTCAGCGAAAAGGGCAACTTTAATGTCCACCTCACGCGACACAAGGGCACCAAGGAGTTCCAGTGCAGCGAATGCGACCGCAGGGAGTTACCCAGCACTGCTCAACTTGCACGTGCGGATCAAGCATCGCGGTGAGCTGCCCTACGAGTGCAAGTACTGTGGACAGCGGTTTGATAACTGCCTCAAGCGGTTGTTCCATGAACGGAGGCACAAGGAGAACCCAACCAAAGACCGCATGAGTGCCCCATTTGCAAGAAGGGCTTCAAGAGTACAACGTCCCTTAAGCACCACAGCGTGGTCCATACGGGCGAACAGCCATTCTAGTAGGTTGAGGTCAAGGGGCAGAGTGTGAACTACATACTAATAATTCCTTTCTTTTTAGCTGCGATCTCTGCCAGACCCACTTCAATCGGAGGAACAGTTTGAGAACCCACTACAAGTCCAAACAGCATCTAAATAAAGTCGAGGAGCAGGCACAAATGCTTAATGTTGGAGACCAAACTGGCCCGGAGGATGGGTAAATCTTTGAATATTTGTATGTTTGTTAACATGTACTGTTGAAACCTTTAAAATATGAATCCCTGTATTAAATCGTCCATCGTTTATTATTATAATTTTGTGTAACAGTCGGAAAATTAGAAAACCGGTTGCATGGTAATATCAATAATATAAGCATGATTTAGCTAATGTGTAATTATAATGAAAACCAAGAAATATGTTAAAAGTATTAGTCTTTCTTTTGTTTTTTAAACTTATAACATATTTTTAATTGTTTTAAAGTGTAGCAAAAAGAAAAAGACGTATTTATAAATAAATCTTTCTTTATAATCTGATAAGTTTCTATAAAATATTTTTTCGCAGTGACTATTTACAACCGGTGTCCCTAAGTACAACTTGTTTGTAGCTCAGTGTTGCATTTCCTGTTCCCACGGAAACGTATGCATATTTTGCAATTCACCAAATTCGGCAACATGTCAGTGGTAAACATAAGACCAACTGAGTATATTTAAGCAAAACAATATACTTTGGCTGGAAAGGCAGGAAGGAGGCCACCGGAATGACCACACTGTGTCGCACTTGTGGCCTGGAGGCGGGGCACTCTAAGGCACTTTTCGAGAAGGATAACAGCCGCATCCTGTGCAATATCCACAAGCTGACAGGGATTAGGGTACGCTGCCCCTCCAAAATATGAACATTCCTAATATAAAGAGAATCCTGTTCGATTCCAGTTGACTGATCGCCCAGGAGTGCCCGAAAGAATATGTTTGTCCTGTGTGCTAGACCTAAAGGAAGCCATTGCCTTTAGGGAGCGCTGCATCAAGACCATTACTTCATTGTACAATAGTCACGACAAACCTGAGGATTTGGACTCTGACCCTGTCGATGAGAGGAACATTACTCAAATAAAACCAAGGTTGGTTGTACCTATCAATACAACGACCATCCATAGGTTGCCCACCAATAGGTTGACTATTAAAACGGTGCCCACCAATAAGTTGCCCATCAGTACGGTGACCATCAATAAAATGCCCACCAATGCGATGCCCATGCCCATCAATATGCTGCCTATTAAAATTGTGCCTATCAATATCGTGCCCGTCAATATTGTGCCATTGGAAAGCCTTTCGAGATCATTGAACCGGTAAAGATTCCACCACAACGCAGCAAGATAGTGGATAAGGTTCCGGTTCAGACCATTGATGACCCTATTTATTCGTTGACTGCTCCGGAAGTCTCCTCTGCTGATCTCGTGGATCCCCTGAGGTGCGAGGACACTATCTACGTAAAGAACGAACCCCTGCTTTCAGATGAGGGACTGAAGAATCCAGAAATCTAGAAGTTACACTGGAGGAGCAAATACAACTAGAAGTCAAAACCAAAGAATCTAGAATCCAACCATTAAGAAGATTTCCATATTCAGCAAGAAGAAAAAAAAGCAAACTAACTAAGACACGTAAGGCACCGTCCTTGGAGAAGAAGCCTATCGAGAAATCTTGTGAGAAAACGCCCAGCAAGGAAACTGATGAGGAAGAGAGCTCACCAGATTATATGAACAATAAGTTGGAGGACCTCCTCCTGGCTGAGGATTGTGTTAAAGCTCCATCGGGCAGACGGAAAAAGACGGAAGCTGAAAAAGCTGCCACGCGAAGAAACTATAGCGCGGCCAAAAGGGCTTACGCCCTGGAGCATAGGCTTTTTTTCTGCGATCAGTGCGGCAAAACCTTCGCTGAAAATGGAAATTTAAGGTGCATCTTAAGACCCACACGGGGACCAAGGACTTCCAGTGCAAGGAGTGTGATCGCAAGGAGTTAACCCAACACATGCTCAATTTGCACGTGCGGATCAAGCATCGCGGTGAGCTGCCCTATGTGTGCAAGTACTGTGCCCAGCGTTTTGACAACTGTCTCAAGCGGTTGAACCACGAGCGAAACCACAAGGAGTACCCTAACCAAAAACCGCATGTGTGCCCCATTTGCAAGAAGGCCTTCAAAAAAAAGGGTTGTCTTAAGAACCACAGCGTGGTGCACACGGGTGAACAACCATTCTAGTGAGTTTGGGGGAAATACTTATTGCTCAGATCCTTACTTATTTCGTTTCTCTTCAGTTGCGAGGTTTGCCAGACGTATTTCAATCGCAGGAACGCCTTGTCCACCCACCGCAAGTCCAAAACTCATCGGCTGAAAGCTGAGAAGCAGGCGGAGAATCCTGATGACCAAGAAACAACTGAGCTAGAGAATGATTAAAACATTCTTCTCTAAATTTTTTGTGTGCCACTATTTAAACCAGCGGTCGGCACGGAATACAATGACATTTTGTCTTTCATTTGTGTAAGCAACTTGCATGGGCCATCTTATCGATGTATATGCGACGTCTGCTGTTATACGCTGTAAGTGTGCAGGCAGAGGCTCAGCAGAGATATTCCCTATGCCCTCTTAATGGCTCGCTGCCGACCGCTGATTTAAACTCAAAGGATTGCTTAAATTAGACTTTAAAAACTGTACAGGAGAACGATTTACTCGAATAATTGTAAAAACTAACTTTTTCATAAACCACATTTCCATTAGAATATTTTTGAAATTGCAATTAAGTGTCTTTGTGGTTTGAGAATAATATGTTATCGTTGATATCACTGCTCGTTAAAGATAAAAAGATGGTAGCATTTAGAGAGTGAAAAATAAAGCACTAAGAAATATAGCTCTTACCATTTTAAGTGTTACAAACTTCATGACCCATTTGTAAGAAGTCTTTCAAGACTAATATGACCGTCAGTGAGTATAAGTCAATGCATAAACTGATTGAATCGTCACTAATTGGTTTTTTTTCAGTTGCGAACTCTGCCGATGTACTTCAATAGGGGGCTTTCCTGTTATAGAGGATGGGTGAATATGTATACTTTAAATTAAAAAATGTTTTTTGTGTTTCCTTAATTGCTCTTAGTTATAACAATGTTCGAAGTTCTGAGATTTTATTTCGTTACTATCACCTTATATGCCAATGACTGGATAAAAAACGTTTAACGTTTGTGAATTTACTGTTTTTACAAGCAAAGTTACTTTTTTCGCGTTTTCAAAGCTTATTTTTAAAATGCGCGCCAAGTAAAAAACTAGTTCTTGTGTATCTAAATAGGGCCACAGGCGTAGCAAAATGGGAAACTATCATATAAATTGTTGTAAAATATAAGTTCTTGTATTTAAGAGTAAAATCAGGTAATCATAAAAAAATCTTCTTTTAAATACAGAAGATATGTTTTAATTGAATCCCCCTTCGAAGTAATTCCGGCTACGCACATGCCCGCAGCCCTGGTTGCAACCCCTACGTTGGGGCTGTGCAGCCCTGCGAACTTGGCTTGCTGTTTTGCAGAAATTTCGCAGTTTGCCGGCAAAGGATGAAGTGCGCAGTTCAAAAGTGCGACAACAGCTCCTTTTACAAGTCCCTAGCATATCATACCGGTGAAAACAAAAGCATTTTCTCGACTTTTCCGAGAGCCCGCGAAACTTTCCACCGGGAAAACTACGCAACCCTGCCGAAACTATAGGAATTGCATTACTTCGGCGAACTTTTCAAAGATGATGTCGTCCCAGACGGCCGGTGATTCAAAATGGGTGTGTCCCTCCAACTCCTCTGGTGTATCATAAGTATTCTAATCACGTCTGTGTATATCTTTTGTCTTTTTGAAGGTGAACCAGCCATTGAACAAAAAGCAACATGTGGAGAGGGGACGAAAAGAGCGGTCACCGAAGAAAGTAAACAAAAAGCTGGCAGACCTGCTCATGGCAGATGCGGAGGATAGTGACGCCCACAGCACTTCCAACTCCACTCTCATTGCTGCTCCCACGCCAGACAGCGCTTTTTGTGATGGCTTATCGGAAGAGGAAGCCACTGAGCCCCAGGAAGGTGATCCCCCAGAAGAAAGACAGTGCCGCACCTGCTTTCAAGTCTTATCCTCAGATGAAGATGTCAAGGATCTCTATGAAAGGGACAACATTGCGCTGCTTTACCACATTGAAGTTACCACCGGAGTGTGGGTAGGTCGGGCACAGGGTGGGTGGGTAGCTGTGTTCTGCTGATATGGCGTGCGAATCGCCTTCAAATTTAAACCACCCCTGCCAAATTGTAAACGCTGTCCTTTGTTGTACCTCCAAAAAGCTTTGATATTATTTTATTAAGAGTATTTTGTAAAAATAGAGGATATAGTTAAAAAAGAGTTATAACATAGAGTTGTCTGCTTCTGTCAGTCATGGTTTTTGGTTTCATGAGGGAAGTTCATTCTGAAGAAATGATTGTGCTTATCAAGTACAAGTTTGAATTTTTATATATAACTCTGTCGATAAGCCAGATGCATGGGCGTATAAATGTAGTATGTTTACATTCGAAGATATGTATACATATACATATAATACGAACATAGTTATTTATCCAATAATAACCTACGGATTTCAAAAGATTTATCAATCCTTACCGAACTCTGAAACATAATATCAGATGAAGTTTAAATTTCTTTGCATAATCTTATACTACACGCAGATAGAAACAGGAGAAAAGGGACTACCGCATCACATATGTGCAACATGTCAAGAAACTCTGCAGAAGTCTGTAGATTTCCGGGATAAATGCATTCAGATCGATAAAAAGTTCAAGCAAGCCACAAAGCAAAATTCTGAGGATGAAATTGAGTCCGAACTGGAAAATGTTCTTTACGAAGAGTCCGTACAGCAGGCGAGTGAAGTGCCAGGAACAGGTTTCAAATACCCAGAACTTGGATCGGATAGTGAGTGTGTCCTAGATGAGAAGGACATACCACTAGATCTGGATTCGATTGATTTCTCATCTGGAGAAGAAGACGAAGAAACCAATTTCCCATTTAAAAAAAGAAGACCACTAAGGAAGTCAAAACGAGCATGCAATGAGATTGTTAGCATTAAGAAATGTGAGACCAAGGAGGAGATTGGCAAAGTCGATCCTGGAGCTGAAGTCTATAAGGTTGTGCTGAGTGAATGCAATCGGAAGGATGAAACCAAGAAGAAGATATCTCTACCATTGCCAAAGCCTGTCCAACAAAGGGTGAGCTCGGAGGAAAAAAACGCAGGACACGCGAAAGGGTTCGGGCCAAACCATTTAGCCATGTCTGCGATCAGTGCGGCCACTCCTTCCGCCAACGGGGTCAGCTCCGGATGCACTTGCTCCGCCACAACAGCGCCAAAAACTTTGATTGTCCCGAGTGCCCGAAGAAGTTCTATGACGCCTATACGCGCAACATTCATCTAAGAGCTCGTCACAAGGGCGAAAATCCTTTCCTTGTAACCATTGCAACACCTCGTTTCAAACGCGAGCAGTCGTCATAGGCACGAAAGGTAAGTAATACTTTTTTAAATGAAGAATTAATCTAACTTTTGGAATTGCCACAGAGAAGTTCACGGAGTTGGATCACGGATTCTCACGCGGCCAAAATCAAAGCCAGATGGCTCTGATCGACATTATTGTACCCAATGCACGAAGAGTTACTGCACAAAAAACGCTCTTACTTTACATATGAACTCCCATAATGGAACCAGGCCCTTTAAGTGTTCGGTTTGCCAACAGGGATTTACGGACCCATCTGCCAAAAAGCGACATGAAGCCAGACACGATAAGTTTCCCTTTCACTGTGATATCTGCTCCAAGGGATTCCTTCTGCGCTCCCAACTTATCAATCACCGTGATGTACACACTGCGGATCGTCCTCATTGGTAGGTTTCGTACAAGTTCCTAAATATTTAAAATATTACCTAAATATTTTTCTGGCAGGTGCGAGTTCTGCGATGTTCACTATCGTCATAGGTATAAGTTAAACATTCACTACAACAGCAGTATGCACAAGAATAATGTGTTCAAAGCTCAGGAAGAGGAATATAATGGACTGCAACAAACTCTTAAAGATTTTTTAAATTTCTAAGTGATATGAACTGAATCTCAATCGCATCTCGTAACTAGAATTAAGCCAAATGCACAAGAAGTACGTGCCAAAACTCAGGACGACCACATTAAAAATATATACGTAACGTTTAATACTCAAATGAGAGATTACTCAACTGCACATGAAGTAAGTGCCATAGGCTCAGAAAGAGCAAACACGAAGTCATTGATATAATTTTGTGAAAATCTATATTGTTTTTTCTTAATATTATTACTCCAAAATCAGGAATATTATGCATTTAAAAACCGGCAATATGTCTAAACTAAAAGAAGAGAAGACTTGACAATTTATGTACTTAAAACATGTAAAAATATGGCTTAAATAAAGGATATCAAGGAATATTATTTGGGATAGAATAATTTTATAATTAACAAAAATGTTACTCACATTTTTACCGTTATTTCTTTTGAACTTAAATTTTTTCAAAATTGCTGCAGTTTCCCGCGCAAGTAACGAATGGGGTGGTTTTACATACGTTTTCCAACACTCTTATTAGTTTGAGAAATAAAATAAATCAAAAACATAAATGCAACTACCTAAATATTAAAATGAAAATATTGATTACATATTTTATTTACAAACATTTATAAACAAAAAGTATAAGCTGAACAATAAGTGACACTAAATGGAACTTAGCTAAAATAGGGCATAAGAGACATTTACTGTGTGTAAATGTTAACAGAAATAATATATCATAAAAACCCATTGCAATATTTCATTTTAAAAAGTCAATTTGAAAAAGAACAGTGCTGTTAAGCGCCCTGACTTCAGTGCTGGAAGCCACCCGCCGACCAGTGTTGCAAATCACCACCCCTTGTATACATACATATATCTGCAATAATATACGCACACATAGTACAGTCGCAAGTTGCGACTCGCAGCGCCATATAAAAAGTTGGAACTGAGTGGAATCGGAGCGATATATAGCCAGCCGATCCCTTCCAGAGCGCCGGACGAGCAGCTCCCAGCCGATCCCACGTCCCCGAGCCGATGTCGCGACGGGAATAGAGCGATTCGCAGCCCAAACATCATGATAAACCCCATTGCATCCGAGTCAGAGGCCATCAACTCGGCCACCTATGTGGACAACTACATAGATTCCGTAGAGAATCTGCCCGACGACGTGCAGCGCCAGTTGTCCCGCATCCGCGACATAGACGTCCAGTACAGAGGTGAGTTCTGGCCGAGATTTCCCCGGACGAAGCAGTGAAAAACCTAACCTCGACCCACTCCGAAATTATTTTCCTTTCGCAGGCCTCATTCGCGACGTGGACCACTACTACGACCTGTATCTGTCCCTGCAGAACTCCCCGGATGCCGGGCGTCGCTCGCGAAGCATCTCGCGGATGCATCAGAGTCTCATCCAGGCCCAAGAACTGGGCGACGAAAAAATGCAGATTGTCAACCACATGCAGGAGATAATCGACGGCAAGCTGCGCCAGCTGGACACGGACCAGCAGAACCTGGACCTGAAGGAGGAGCGCGATCGGTATGCCTCGCTGCTGGAGGATGGTCAGCCCTCGAAGCTGCAGCGCCTGCAGAGCCCCATGCGTGAGCAGGGCAACCAGGCGGGCACCGGCAACGGTGGCCTGAACGGGAACGGCCTGCTTTCGGCCAAGGATCACTATGCCCTGGGCGGCTATGCAGGTGGTGTTGTGCCCGGTTCTAGTGCCATGCCCTCGGGCAACGGCGGCAGCTCAACACCCAACTCGGAGCGCTCCAGCCATGTCAGCAACGGAGG